GGGGAGGAGGTGGTGAGATGATAACGAAAGGATGATACATAAGTACTTGGCTAGATCGGAAAGTACGAGATGGAAGGAGGGTGCATGTGGAAGAACGGAAACTGGGCGGACGTGACAGAGGTTCTTGTTAGCAAAGTACCTTTTCGTTGCGTTGGATCTCTACATAGGTAGCTTGATCCAAAGTTCCAATAACAATAAAACCGAATCAAACGGCGTTTGGACAATCCACAAGCACCTACCTATTTTCTCGTGACACTCGGTGACCTTCACTTCCACATTTCTCCTCCGAACAAACCCAAACAAACATCAACAACCGCTCGACAAGCGGCTACATCCACTTATTGATATTACCACTACAAACTAACACAGTACTGTACCGTACTGCCAGGTACATAACATACAAAAAGAGAAGAAGTTGCGGCATAGCAACTCAGCTAGCCATGCTGGGGTAGGTAGATACCCGTAGACGAACATCGACAGAAAAAGAAATTGAAAGATAGAGATAGGTAGGTAGCTTCCATGTCCCGACAGGACAGAGACAGACAGGATATTTGTTTAAAAAGGAAATAAAAAACGATGGAGGTATCAAAACGACTCGACTTGACTCTTGACTTCTTTCTTACGCAACGCTTATCGTTGCCAGCCACCCAACCGACCAACAATTCGCATCGTACTTCACATGTTCGTCCACATGAGGGTCTTCTTTTCTTGCTCACTTGCCTGCTTTCACGTAATATGGTTCATCTTCAAACCATTCGATATGTGGCTTCGCCGTGGCTCGCATGATGTTATCTTTTCACTGAATCTGGCCATCAAATCACCTCTCCCCAAAACTAGCAAAGTCTTACTTAGGACTGGCTAGCAAGGTAGTTGGCGGCCTAAGAGAAAGTTAGCAACCCCTCATCACACACACTCTCTCTTTTTCTTAAGTTGTAAGAGGACTCACCCTCTCCAAATTATAATCATACTTCTCCAACGCCTTCACGGCATCCTGTCTTGAGTACCCCATACTCGTCAGATTCTTCACAATCGGATCATCGTGTTCGCCTGACTCCGTCAACGCTCTGCCGGGTACTGGCCTCTCCTCAGCACCCTCCTTCTTCTGCTCCTTGTCACCACCCTCCTTCTGCTCCCCACCAGTTTGGGCTTGGGGGTTAGCCGACGATCCCGGTCTGGGCGTCTCCAAGCTCTCAAACGGGCTTTGTCCACCCTGCTGAGCCTGGCTTCCGTCATCCAGACCCGCAAAGATGGCGTCCCAGTCATGAGCATCCGCCTTTGGCGCAGCGAACGATCCCTGCGACTGAGTCGCCTGGTGGGAAGGGACAAAATCGAAATCACTCTTGGGCTGGCTGGGCGGGGGAGAGCCGAACTGACTACCGCTGCCAAAACCGTCATCTCCAAATCCGGAGCGGGAAATGTTGGCAAAGTCTTCTACGTCGTCGGCGGAGCTGCCTTCCTTGGCGTCTTCAAGGTCGGCGAATTCGTCATCTAGGTCGTCGAAGGCACCCTTGGAGGAGGCTTGAGAGGCGGCAGCAGGAGGTTGCGCAGCAGCGGGGGGTTGAGCAGCGGCGGGAGCAGGAGAACCAGTGCCCCAGATGTCGTCGAGGTTGGTGTTGCTAGTAGCGGCGGCGCTAGTGCTGTGGTTTTCGTTGTTAGATACCTCTAGGGCAGCTGGAGAATCTGTAGATGTGACAGGGGCAGTAGTGAATGAAGGTGTCTCGCTGTATAGCGGATCAGATCAGTCTTACTGTTTCGTTGTACAAAACTGGGGGATACAGGGAAATTAAAAAAATAAAACAAAAAAGACACACCAAAGCAAAACAGAAAGCAGTACTGGAGCGTATTTACCTGGCAACTGGCTCAGCAGCAGCTGGCGCAGTCACTGCTTCAGCTTGGCCGGCCTCAGCACCCACGGTAGGCTTGACCGGACTAGCAGGCGCGAAATCATCATCAAATCCAAACCCGCCCTTGTCCTCACCCGCCTCGCTGTCCGAATCACTCTCATCGTCCCTCTCCAATTCCGAAATAGGCGGGAACTCCGAGTCAACCTTGTTGAATCCACCAGCCTTTGCAGTCTCCGCAGCAGCAGCGGGCTTGGCTTGCGTGTTCTTGAAGCTAGCGAAAGCACTCTCAAAGTCCTCCTTTGCCTTAGCATCCGTATTCACGGCAAAGGGGTCGGCCTCGATAGGGGCGGCGGCGGGCTTAGACTGGCTGGTAATGGATGCGGACGACGTGGGACGGTTGGAAGTAGCAGACTGGCCGGTTCGGACGGGCTCGATGGGGAGAGCAGCAGCAGCAGGAGCTTGATCCTGCGAGCCATGGCGAGAAGGAGCGCGAGAACCAGAAGCGCTGGGTTCACCGAATGGCGAGAAGGCACCACCAGGAGCAGCAGCGTTATCAGCGGTGATAGTAGGCTGCCTAGAAAGCGTAGGCGAAGTGCTTCCCGGCGTGGCGAACGAGCCCGAACCGAAACTACCGGTCGACGTGCCGGTGTTCTGCGCCTTGAACGCCTGAACCTGGGGAACAGGAGAAGCAGCAGCAGGAGGTGGCGTCGGGCTCTGAACAGGGACGTTCAACGAGGGACCGAACACATCATCGAAACTTTGTCCGCTCATGGACCTCGAGGCAAACGCAGCGCCGATGTCAGCACTTCCCGTTCTCCTGAAGAAGGGGTTGTTACCACTTCCAGTGGAAAGGGCGGGACTAGCAACCGGCTGCACCGGGCTAGCTTGTCTCGCCAAGTCCACCTGTCTAGCCAGCTCCTCCTTCTCCTTGTTAAGGTCTTCAACCTCGTTCTGTAGCTTCCCCTTTTCGCCCTCCACCGTGCTCAACTGCTTCTTGTTGATAGCCACCATCCCCTTCTGCTGCCTGGCCTCGCTCTTCAACTTCTCAACCAGCGGCTTAAGCTGGGCAATCTCCCCGTTGACCGTGCGAATCTTTTCCTTCAACGAGGCGTTCTCCTGCTGGTCGGCTTGCAAGCCAGCAACAACCGTGCGGTGCTGGTTCTGCAGCTCGAGATAACTGGCCTCGATCATGGCGAACTCGGTCTGAAGCTTCTTGGTCTCCGCCTTGGCGGTACTGAGCTGCGTCTCGAGAGCGCGGACGTCCTGGGCTTCCTTCTCGTACAAGGCGCGCAGTTGGGTAAGGCGTTGTTCAAAGTTCTTCTTTTGCTGACTGGCTTGGCTCAACTCGTTCTGTGTGTTGGTTCGCTGAGTTTGGACATCCTGAACCTGCTTGGTGAGCGAGCCGATCTGGTTAGAAAGGTTGGCGAGCTCGGTAGTCTCGTTGGAGAGCTTGTTGTTGACTTCAGGGTCGGCGTCACCTAGCAAATCATCCTCAACTGTTGGCGGCAGCGGAGAAGTTCTAACACCACCCGCCGGTGCCGAGCCAGTCGAGCCTCCGGTAACGTGCGTAGTCAAGCCGCGACCAAAAGATGACGAAGGAACAAACGGCTTAAAGTTGGAGCCCGTCGCAACTGGGCGGATAGGCGAAGACGGCGCAATGGGACTAGCACTGTTGCCAAACGGATCGACCGATCCACCCGTAGCAACAGGTACCTGAACCGGCGCCGGACCGGGAGCAGGAGGCTGAGGCTCGTCCAACCCAAACAAGTCGTCCAAGGCCGAAGGCTTCGGCGCGGGTGGCTGCGGGCGAGGGGGCTGGAAGCCACCAGCAGCAGTCTGAGGTCTGCCCTGCGGGGCGCGCATGCTAGGAGGAATCAAGTTAGGAGGCAGAGTAGTAGGCAGAGGGACCTGACCGGGTTTGGTTCTCTGCTCTCTGATCAAGTACATGGCAACGGCAAACTCGTCCCGGGTGAGACGACCAGCCGAGTTGATATCGGCAAGGTCCCAAATCTGAGCAAGCACATCCTCGTTGAGGTTGGACTGGCTGAAGAAGGGCACGGCCTCCTCGCCGGTGATGAAGCCCTTCTTCTGCTTATCCAGCTCCTCATACAACAGGTCGAATCGCGCCTTGTCCGCGGGGGTAATCAGCCAGTCCCCAGTCGGTTGCGCAGGAAGTGGCGGGCGTCCCAATGGGCTGCCGGTTCTCGTCTGCGTAAGTTGCGCCGGGCCGGTAAGGTGTCTAGCAGCGGGCGGAAGGGGCGGAGTAGCGGTCGTCGGGGATCGGCCGGGAGGAGGATTAATACCGCCAACGGGGGCGCGTCTCGTAGCGGCTTCGTACAGCGCGGCAGGAAGGATGGTGGGCAAACCGCGCAACGCACCCGTCTTCATCGAAGTAAGCAAGTGCATGGCGATAACGAACTCGGTCAACACCAGTGCACCACGCTGCTCGGTATCGGCCAGCATCCAAATTCTTCCCAAAATCTCATTAGACAGTCCCGACTTCTCAAAGATCTGCTTCGCCTGCTCGCCGGGAAGCATGTTTCCCTGCAGCGGCTGTCTCTCGAACAGGGCCGAGTACTGGGCGACCTTCTCGGGGGTCAGGGGCGGGATCCGGATGGGGCCGGAGCCGGTGGCCTGCGGGGAAACCATAGCAGCAGGCACGGCCGGCGACTGGGCCGGACCGGGGACGGGAACGGGGGTGGGAGTCGGGGTGAAGCCGTCGAATCTCGGAATGGGACCCTGCGACAGGGCGAGCTCGGGGGAAGGTTCGCGACCGGCTTGTGCGTGCCCGATAAGCCGCAAGACGACGCCGAAGCCTGCTGGGGTGAGGAAGCCCCTGTTTTCCTTGTCGGCGATTTGCCATATCTTTTTTTGGGAAGGATATACGTCAGCTGGTGTAGCAAAGGGCGGGAGACAGACATCCGATGACTGACCTCTCCCAAAACGCGGGAATCCAACTTTGTCCTTTCGAAGAACTTGACAGCCACCTCGCCGGTGATGACCCCAACGCTATCGGTATCGGCGGCGCGGAAGAGTTGACCGTAGACTCGCTTCTCCTCGGGGGAGAGGTTCAAGTTGGGGACGCCTGGTCGCATGGGAGTTTAGCTCCTGTTGGGTAAAAGGACATGGGAAACTGAGGAGGGGCTCACCAGCATCGGGATCAGAAGCCATCATGGGCAAGCTGTACCCTCTGCGCAGAGGACTTGTGGGTGGGTATTTTTGGTTATTATGGTGATGGATGAATCTGGTTACTGGGACCAGCTACCGTCGGTGAATAAGTAGCCCAGTGTTTCTCTTTTCCAAAGTATCCGTAGTACAGGTGAGGTCAGTCGGCGGCCCAGGCAAGTATGTCGGGTTTCTGGGCTGAGGTCAGTAGGTAGGCGGTTGGTGGTGTTGGTTGGTGTTGGTGGTTGGTGGAGATAGGTATGGATTGGGCGGGTGTTCCGCTCGCTGAGGTGAGCTGAGGTTGCCGGGTCGCGGAAAGGGGAATGACGCCCTGGACGGGATGATGTCGCAACAGGAAGGGATTGGATCTCGACGATGTTTCGGGTTGATGAGACAACCAAAGCACAAGGGCGATCCGTTGAGAACACTGCCAAAGAGAAAGAAAAAAAAAAGATTATTAGGACGACTCAAGACTGATGACGACTACTACCTGTACCTATGCCGTGGTGTCTGGGCCAGATTGCTGCCTCCCGTCTGCCTCGCTCCTCGGTGTGGGTGATTGTGGTGAATCTGGTGAGGTCGGGTTCAGTTGGGAATGCGACGACACTGCTCAGTGACTTGCTTCAGCGGGCGCTACAGAGCTTCCCGTCGTTCGACCCGCCAAGATGAAAAGTGGATCTGCTTGAAGCCAATGTGCTCCACTCGTAATGTTCGCTGCTGGGTCTAGCGGCTGTTAGTGCCACAGAGTGCGGAGTCGGTCATCTGGTTGGCCCGCCTGTGCAAGAATGTTCCGTGATGCAGCCGTGCATTTGTCCCTTTATCTACCCTAGGTATCGATGTCATAAGTATCCCAAAGACGGATTATTCATGTGGATATAAACATACTGAGGTACTTCAAAATCTACCTTCAACCTTCTATAACCATGATAGTCTCTGAGGCCGAAGCCATACAATTATCAAGCTGTTCTTTATCCTCGAGGTTCTCTCGCTCATCGCTCACTTTATCCTCGCAGTCTGGTGTCTTGCCGTGGCAGTGATCCCCCCCATCATATCTTCATCTCCCATGTTCATCACAACCTAACCTCCAACCAACAACGTTCCCTCCGTCCAACCCCCAACGCCATTCGCGTTGCATAACCATAACTACACCAACCCGCTTCCACACCACCACCTTCGTTGCCATATGGTGATATATCCCTCATTCCATGTCTGCACGCTGCATTGCACCACTCTGACTTGCTGATCTTGAAGCTATTGAGGTTGATCTGACACTTACATAACCTGTCTTAGACCAGTCACTTACACCAATACTGCTTCACTCAATTAAAATCGACTATCATGTTTCAGTCTAACAACAAAATAGTGTCGACAACCCCAAGTCCGCAACTAAAGGCCACATCAAACTGACATTCACCATGGGATAATAACAATGACCCCATTATCAACATCATCATCATCATCCCACTAGCAAAACACCTGGTGCGCACCCATTCAAACAACTAACAGGAAGCCACAATCAAGGGACTCCGTGGGTATTCTTTCTGACGTCGGGCGGGCTCTGGTTTCCCACCACTTTGTACTTTGTATATCTCTTCCCTCTGATTCCATCAACATCCTCGTACCAACAATTATCCTTTCACAAGCAGCAGATTCCGTACACTGTGTTGCTGTGCTTGTACTTGCACTTAGTACTCGGCCTCGACATCCTCACCCTCCATCGAGTCGGCGGCAACCTCCTCGTAATCGCGCTCGAGGGCCGCAAGATCCTCACGAGCCTCAGAGAACTCGCCTTCCTCCATACCCTCACCAACGTACCAGTGGACGAAGGCACGCTTGGAGTACATGAGGTCGAACTTGGACGAAAGAGCGGACCAGGCCTCGGCAATGGCAGTGGTGTTGGAAAGCATGCAGCTATTGTCACGGTTAGAACACTAGGCGTCACGGCAGACAGAGACCGAGAGAAACTTACACAGCACGGTTAACCTTGGCCAGATCGCCGTTGGGGACCTGGTGAGGAGGCTGGTAGCAGATACCAAGCTTGAAACCAGTAGGGCACCAGTCGACGAACTGAATGGTGCGCTTGGTCTTGAGGGTAGCGACGGCAGCGTGGGCGTCGTTGGGGACAACGTCACCGCGGTAGAGCAAGCAGGTGGCCATGTACTTGCCGTGGCGGGGGTCGCACTTGACCATCTGGTTGTTGGGCTCGAAGCAGGACATGGTCATCTCCTGGACCGAGTTGGCCTCGTGGGCGGCCTTGGCAGCCGAGATGACGGGAGCGTAGGCGACCAGAGGGAAGTGGATACGGGGGTAGGGGACCAAGTTGGTCTGGAACTCGTTGAGATCGACGTTGAGGGAGCCGTCAAAGCGGAGCGAAGCGGTAATGGAAGAGACGACTGAGATGGAAAAAGTTAGTCTAGGAAAATCACACACATCATAGAGCCAAGCCATGACATACCCTGAGCGATCAGGCGGTTAAGGTTCTCGTAGTTGGGGCGCTCGAGGCCAAGGTTGCGGCGGCAGATGTCGTAGATGGCCTCGTTGTCCACCATGAAGGAGCAGTCAGCGTGCTCGAGGGTGGTGTGGGTGGTGAGGATCGAGTTGTAAGGCTCAACGACTGAGGTGGCAGTCTGGGGAGCAGGGTAGACGCAGAACTCGAGCTTGGACTTCTTGCCATAGTCGACCGAGAGGCGCTCCATGAGGAGAGCACCGAAACCGGAACCAGTACCACCACCGAACGAGTGGAAAACGAGGAAACCCTGGAGACCGCTGCAGTTGTCGGCAACGCGGCGGACCTTGTCGAGGACCTGGTCAATCAGCTCCTTGCCGACGGTGTAGTGACCACGAGCGTAGTTGTTGGAGGCATCCTCCTTGCCGCTGATCATGTGCTCGGGGTGGAAGAGACCGCGGTAGGCGCCGGTGCGGACCTCGTCGATGACGTTGGGCTCGAGGTCGGCGTAGATGGTGCGAGGAACGTATTTCCCGTTGCCTATATTTGTATTTGTAAGCTTCCGTTTCGCGGGTTGTGTTGAGCAAAGGCGCTATGTACCGGTCTCGGAGAAGAAAGTGCTGAAGCCATGGTCGGGGTCAGCGGCCTTGCGCTCCTCGGTGAGGTAACCATCGGGCTGTGGTGTCGTATGTTAGCATATCTTGTGCGGATGGCGGGGATATATGCCGTGGGGAGGGATGGGGGCGAAGCTTACCTGAATGCCGTGCTCAAGGCAGTAAAGCTGATAAGAGAGTTAGTTTTCTTTGTCCCATGTATATTTTGAGGGCGGTCGAATGTTCCATGGTTCGTCTGTCGGTGCTATTTCGGCCAGACGGGATGTGTCGCGTGTGGTGGGGGATGACAGGAGAGGGCGGACGATGACATACCTCCCAGCAGGAGTTGGCGATCTGGCAACCGGCCTGGCCGACTAGATGAGGGAAGCAACGTTAGCATGCCTGTTGATCTCGGCGATGGATGAGTAGGCGAATAGGTCGTGAATGAGGCCGATGATGCGCCAGCTTTTGGTGGGCGACGGGTTCACGCTGGCGGTGAGGCTGCTTTTTCGCCGACAACACGCGCCACTATGGAGGCGAACGGGAAGGGCGGGAAAGATGGGCGAGAAAGCGGTGCCCTGGTTCAGGAGATGGACGATAGGGAAGCTGTCGACATACCGTTCAAGCTGATAATTTCACGCATTTTGGATGGGTTTGGTGTGTATTAAAGAAGTAGTATGTAGTAGTAGTGGTGGTGGTAGAAAGAAGTGGAAAGCAAAAAGTTGTCGAGACTCGGGAAGACGGCGTCGCGGGTGGATTGTTGGAGAAAGGGCAGCGATGCGGTGGATGGGATGGATGGGATGTGCAAAATTGAGGATTTAGCGGGCGGCGGAACGAAGTGAAAGTGCCTGATGAGCAAAGCAACGAACCGACGAACCAACAGAAAGTGGACGTGCTCGACCTGGCCTGTGGTAGTGGTGGGGAAATTTGATTGTTGACACCAGTCTGCCCAATGGGGGAAAGCGTGGTTTGGCTCCTAACTGAGGTGACTGTCCGACCACCGACCGACCATCGTCTCCCGTCGTCAGGCGCAAATCTGGTAGGTGTATCTGCCGTGTGTTCAGGGCGGGCAGTCATCGATCGAAGCCTCTTTTTTTTTTCAGACATCACCACTGCAATTTTCTGGCAGTAGCAGTAGCTGGCTGGACCTCCAGGCCCCCCGAAACGAGTCATGGACTTGACTTTCAGCGACAGCAACGACCTGTCTGTTAAGTACTTTGTGGTCCGTGCACCGTGCCCCCCTTGGCCCCTCGTCCGTTCGATATCCGCCACCAAGGGGGCACTCATTTGGGGGCATCACCACCTGCTGCAGTGGTGGTAGGTCATGGTTGCCGTGGTGCCGGCGTCTTGCACTGTTCCGCCTGTTGTTCTTGCCCCTGGACTGACTCCTCCCTTCAGACGGTGGTCCAGAACTCTGCCAGCCACCGCGTCAGGGGCAGCAGCAAAAGTCTGGGGTTATGTAAGGTGACTGATTTTTAAGGGTCATTCTTTTCTGGAAAGTTGCGGTGGAGTAAAGCTGCTGCGTTTTGGTGTATCTCAGCTACCGGGTACCTGAACGACAACATGGATTGACTTTGACAACGTGGAAAAGGAGATCACCAAAGTGGTATTTTACCCCGAAATACTCAACCATCTGCTCGGGAACGAGAGTAACATTTCGACTGGGGTTCTGAGCATCACTCAAGGTCAAAACATTCACCACACAAAATGATCCAATTGGCAGCCATTATTGGTAAATTGGTTGATGTTCTGGGTACGGACGAAAGATCGAGAGCGACCCAGTGCCGCAGCATTGGACCTGCAACATGCACGTTCCTGCAGTAGTTGAACGCCAGTTGTACAAACAGATGAACGTCAACATGGAGGTCCAGCTGTCTTTGTTTTTGTTTAGAGTTCTTTCTTCACTCCAGAATCTTTCCGATTTCAGTCCTTCCGCCGCCTTGTCCATTTCTTCACTTTCTCCTCACCAACCTCTCCTTGACCCATTGCTTAGCTCCGACTGGCCTGCATTTAGAAACGACGAAAGCGTAGACTCGCAACCATGCTCAAACTCTCTGTCTTGTTGGTCCTCACCATCACTGACTCCATATCCTGCGATCCCCAGGCTCCGGTTCCTGGCAGCGGACGACATGTCTCGGCATCTTCGACTCTGCCTGGCCGCGCGATGTGTGCCAGTCGAATGCGCCTCCTCTTCCCTGGCTGTCTTGAGCTGACTGTCGCAGACTCCATAGCCTGGCGAAATTATGGAGGTATCTTCTTCTGCCGTGCAGGAGTCAATGTAAAAAGCAGGCCAGAGAACGGCCAAGACTTCACTGGGCCCAGCTGCGGTGGTCAGGGCGGCGGCCGCGCTAGATGTTTTGTCGAAAGTTCTGCTTCTTGACCTGGACGGTGATGGTGACGTCGATAACTTATCTATGTCTTGTGTAAAGGTGACGTTTGAGCAAGACATGACGGGGGATGACTGCCCGTTTCCCATAAGCAAATAGTTTTGTCTGGGGCTGTCAGGATATTCACCCGGATACGTCTCATCGGGCAGCTCCTCGCTCACCACGACCATGGTTGACAACGGAAGCAGCCGATAGGCTTCGGAGCCCGCTACTACCCAATCTTGAGTCGAGTAATGTACCCTGTCCTCCAGCTTCTGCAAGTAATGCCAATGGTGACAAGCCTTCTTGCAGAAGCGGTCCAGATGGTCCTTGAAACGATTTCGTTCTGACTGTGACAACAACGGCCCGATGCAGTCATCCACACTGGCTTTCAGTGTCTCTATCTTGGCCTTGACCTTCTCCTTCCACACGCCCTTATCAATGGAGCCCAGGAGCACAGAGCGCAGATAGGCCTCTTTAGCGGGATCCATGGTACTGAGCAACCTGCTAAACTCGTCATTGGCACGGGGGTCCTCGAACAGATACGTCGGCTGAAAGACATGCTTCTTTAGCTCAGCATAGAGGACAGCGAGAGCAGCGACGCTGCGCATTTGCTTGGCGGCGGCAGTGTTGGATAAGGGCAATGGAATCCGTGCTTGGTGAACAATGCTGTACTTCTTCAGTTGATCCCACAGTGTAGCGTTGGCTAAGGAAGACTCAGGAAGGTCTGCCCCAAAGAATTCCTTGGCTAGATCGCAAGCGAGGTCGAAAATCTTGGTGAAGCGAGAGGTTCTGGATATCATTTTCGTCAGATTGATGGGCAGACATGGGGAAAGGGAACAGCTCACATCTCTTCCACTCTTGTACATGCAGGTTTCAACGGCACCGAAAAATTTTCCAATTTCTTGATCTCTTGCCTGTAATGATCCAATTCGTGTCTGGTGAACTCCAATTCTTGCTCAATGGCTTCCCTGTCTTGGGTCTTTTTGCGTTCCTCCTCGAGACTTTTTCTGAGGTCCTCGATTTCGAGTTCCGCCCTTTTCAATGCGTCTTCAGTCTTGGTTATGTTTTGGGCCCCTGCTTTGAGCTCATGTGTCTTGGCGGTGAGTATTGAACCAAGGTGGTCGGCCTCCTTCTGAAGAGACTGGACTTGTTCGTCTTTCTTTTGCAGCTCTTGACACGACTTGTCCAGTTTCGCTTTGGCGTTGTGCAGGCTCTCGAGGTTCACCTCAAGAGTTGTTGTGAGCTTTTTGACTTTGTCGCGGAGCTCAGCATTTTGGTCAAAAATGCCCTTGAGCTTCTCGTAGGATGTGTGTGCAGTGATATCGTGAAAGAGTTGAGAGACCACCTTTGCGTGGTCTATTTGATCTGACGACATGTCGAACGTGGGTCCGTTAGGTAGTAATGATATGAAGAACATGGAGCACGAATGGGCGTGTGAAATAGGAGTAGTGATGAGGGTGATATCAAGTTTTGCTCTCGCGATACTACCAGAGCAATCCGCCAACGAAGCAAGGCATTGTTTGCCTGCTTTTGCTAAGCTCACAACGCTATTGTGTCTTTCATCACAAGGCAAGAATCCGTAATGTTGACCATTCGGGAGGACAAATGGGCAGGATATCCGCCTCAGAAGCGCAAACTGAGGGCCTCGCGCGTAGATCCGTCACCTAAGGCTGCTGACAAGTCCATGATGCCGGCTGTATGAAGGCATCAAACGTTGAAGATGACAAGACATGCCTCATTTCTGGTGCCAGGTCCCAGCATCGGCGTTTGATCTGGTCTGGTCCATCCATGCTGGGCGAGTGTTTGGTGCTGCGGCGGAAGCAGCCAACCGCTGCCGAAGCCCGAACGACGATGTCAACTGTGACATGGTCAACTGGACACTTGACCAGCCGGCATTTTTCGATTCGCGGTCAACCATTGCACTCTGAAACTCTGACGCTTTCATTGGGGAGAGTAACCTCTGCTGACCTTATCTTCCTGGTAGCCGAATGGCAGGAACCGGAAGGTGCAAAGGCGAGCAGCAACAGGAAAGAGTCAGCGAGAAAGAGAAGGACCTTGACGGACCTGCCCCTGCTTCCTCCACGGTAGAACATGGATGGACTGCCCTGTTCCTCTGCTCATTCCCCGCCCAAGTTGGCATTTCGTCAGTTTGCTCCTTCTCCCGCCTCATGAATGCTCTCAGTCATGAGTGAGCGTCTCAACCGCCACCAATCCATCCACATCACACATCGTCAACTCCATGGTGCCTCCTCTCATCCAGACCGTGACACATGGTGGTTGCTCGATCTAACCCCCCCTCCCACAGAATCAACGGCGAAATTTGCCCAATTGCATTGATTCGAACGTCCCCAGATCCAGGCGCATAGATTGCTTCGAGACAAGCCCCCCTCCCAGACACGCGTGCACCGATTACCACAGGTTGGAACGAGACCGCCAGGAGTGGCTTGAAGCCCATGGCGACAGGACATCGGAAAACACAAAGTTGAAGTCGAAGCAGGCGATGGTTGACACAAGAAAACGATGCGTACCTTGACAGCCCAGGCCGGGGGGGACTAGACAACTGGCCAAGAGTAGCCGACAGCTGTTCCATGACTGCGTGACGGCCCGATGCGAGCGGGGTGACGGTTAATACATAAACGGAGAGCTATACCGCTTTAGGTTAGACATTAGGGAGAGATGGCCGCAGGGACCACCACCCACACTCCACACCGGCGACATGAGCGCTGTGCTTCTTCCTTGGCGTGGCCTAGAATTGACTTTGGGTTCTTCACTGCAACGAGACGATGCGACACAAAGACAAAGGTGACATCCTGGTGCCACGCCGACAGGAACTCTAACTTATATTGCGACCTCCCCTCTCTTATACATGTATATCATCACATGTAACACATCTCCCCCCCCCC